GGGTTGACTATAAAACAATGCATCGCTCATGTTAGAAATGTTCTCACTTCTGATGATAACGATAAATGGCTTGCCGCTGTATGGGATAACAGAAATAAACCAAACCAAATTACGAACTTATAGAACTTATAAATGTTTCCCTGATGCCGATTTTTTGGTCAAGAATGTAAAGTTCAAGGATCACAGAAGGATTTGAGCGGAAATCTACCACTGCATATTGAGACCGGCCGATACTCCGAGCTTCCAACACCTTTGTCTCAAAGAATATGTAAATATTGTATATACTCTAATGAACACGATGCTCCCCCCACCTATATTGATGATGAATGTCACTTTATGATGGTTTACGTTTTGTTTTTTTACAAGAAGCTTTGGCTATGAACAGAGAATTTTAAAATTTAGGCAGCTCAGGCAAATTGATTTAAGAACGAGGAATCACTGCAACATATTCTAGCTAAATGTCTATAATATATGTTTAAAAGAAGACAAAACTATAAACGTTAATTATCATTATTATTATAATTATTATTGTTATTTAAAAAAGTAAAACACCACTTTTATTTTTAGTAGTATTGTATATATATAATATTTAATTTATTATTATTATTATTATTATTTACAGATTAAAATTATAAATGCAGCAAAGAGGGTTTGGGTGATTCTGGCATTGTTAGGCTGGTTAGGCTCATCATCAGCTCAGGGCCTTTTTGCTCCTTCTACACGCAGCCCAGACTTCTCCCAGGAAGCGCTGCCTAGTCAAACCCAACCAGAACTTTTCGGAGAATGTGAAGACTGCCCAACACTGCAGTCTTCTGCATTACCCAGATTGTCAGAAGGGCTGTATTCCTGGTAGCAAACCCGGGTACTATCCCAATGTCAGTCAACAGACTGGGAGGTACCAAACCTAAGGCGCCGAAAACAATCGGGAGTCGGATAACTTGGTACTTGGGATGCAAGCGTGACATTTCGAAAGCGAGGTCCGCATATTTGACATGTTTTTCCTCAATCTTGTCAATCACATTACTGTCAAATGGGTCAGAAAATTCAATGATATAAATAATTTCATTGGATTTATCAAAAAGGACAAGATCAGGTTTGTTGGCCTGGATATGTCTGAGGCTGTATACGGGCCTATTCTAAAGAATTGTGTATATATCATTTTCCATGACGCCCTCTCCATATTCCGGGTCGTACTATGGATGGATCTCTGTGTCAAAACCACAAGCATGACGAGGACGGTAATAATATGATCGAGCCACTCCATCAAGTCGCTTAAGATACTGTGTCTGTGCCAAAGCTGTGCATCCACTCACAATGTGTTGGACAGTCTCATTAAATTCATTACATAATCTACATTTCATATTCACATTTTGATGCAAAATCACACATTGACTTTCACAACTGACCGAAGCTTTTCACAAAAATATCAAACAATCGCCAAAAGAATTTTGGAAATATTAAATAAACAACGTACAACAGAAAAGAAAAATATATCGGATATTGCTAGCTTCTTTGAATTTAAAAATAAAATAAACCAGAACCCCAAACAAGACGAAGAAGATTTTAATGATTATGTTTTAGACGGGAATGTAAGTGACTGCAGTATTTTGATTGATGATATCAATACCGGTGAAATTATCAAGGCAGCAAAGAAACTTACACAGTACAAAGCAGCAAGTCTAGATAATGTAGAAAACGATTATATCATTGACAGTGTCGTTTTATAAGTCCCTTTATATCCTGAATAAGTTCGTTTAAAAACCAGACCCCAGTACTTACATTGATCTACTACTTCAACAACATTATCGCCTATCCTAAACACATTATTGTTCTTTCTTGATCCAAATACAACCACCTTAGTTTCATCAATATTAATATTCAATTTCCATTGTTTACAATATTCATAAAAAACAGTCCTGTTATTTTGAAGGTCATGGGCGTTATCTGCAAGTATAATAGTATCATCTGCATATAGCAAAACAATAATATGTTTACAGATTCTAACTACTTCATCTTCCGATATAACATCAATACCTTTACATATTTTCTGTTGTAGATATTCTTCAAGGTCATTTAGGTACAGGGAAAAGAGAATTGGCGATAGATTTTCCCCCTGTCTAACTCCTATATCACCAGAGAAAAACGATGAATTTTCACTAATAGCAACAACACACGACTTTATGCCTTGATACATGTTAAATATGATCTGGAAGCATTTACCTTGTACATTTGTTTTTATTATTTTTTGCCAGAGTCCAAAGCGCCAAACGTTATCGAAGGCCTTAGAGAAATCTATAAATCGACAAAATAGTTTCTTTTTGTGTGCCCTGAGGTATTCAGTGAGGGAGTGTAATACGACCATGTTTTCAACAGTAGAATATCCGTATCGAAATCCTCCTTGTGATTCTGATAACATTATTATTTTCTAGATAATTATTAATTCTTTCACTTGAAATAGAAGTAAACAATTTACCAAGGCAGCTTAAAAGAGTAATGGGTCGGTAAGAGTTCGGGTCTTTACGATCACTTTTTTAATAAAAAGGTTTGGTCAATCCGAGGAGCCATTCTTCTGGTAAGATGCCTGTATCAAATATAAATAATTTATGATACACTTGGATAAACAAATCAATAGTATATTTCAAATATTAATTTAGGATTTCATCTATTCCCGGCGATTTATTTGTCTTAAGATTCGAAACTGCCTTCGTAATTTCTGCTATTGTTATTTCCTTGTTAAGGATGTGGTCATCGTTTTCGTCAACTTGCAATTTCTGGAAATGTATTGATATTTTTTAAAAACGTAAAAAAAAAGCCAAGTCAAGATCAAATTCCTCTGGTTTCTTCCAATAATCTTTAGGGGACTTTGTACGCATATTTTGCATCGTTTTCTGCATATTAAAACGGTACTGTTTGATATACTTATTCATAACCTTCTTATATTCTTTGCTGGACATCAATAAAGATTTCCTATTTTGTTGCGACTTATGGCTACCATACATTCGTCTTGCCTGGTGATAATTCTTACCAGCCGTTTTATAATTTTTTCCAGACCTTTGTTTATCCGTAGATTTAGGTTTATAATCATTAGGTCTGTTAACATTATCTGATATTTGTAATGATGATAAACGGAACACTTCTGCTAGTTTACCACAATATTGTTGATGAACGTTTTATCATAATCACGTCTATGGTTCATTTCATATAAAATAGTGTCAACTTGGGTTACATCAATATTATTTATAAAATCTATTTTCTTCTCAGGATTCCATTTTCTTTCACTGGGCTTCCAACTGTGCATATCTTCAGTGACGGCAACGTTGAAATATATAGAGAGACCACAGTGTAAATCTGAATATAAATTACAAAACTCCATCACTTCAAAGTCAATAACAACATTAAACAAATCCTTTGTACACATGAAATAATCCACTGTGCTAGCGTTTTTACAGGTAACGTTTCCTGTATACTTATCTTGTCCAAATCTTCCATTGCATATTAACATATTAAAACTTTTACATAATTCAATTAATTTGTAACCCAAATTTTTTGTGTGTTTATCTTTATTAACCCGTTTAGGGCTTATGCTTCCAGTTGTGAAAACATCTTCTAGTACACTAAGATCTCTCTCATATACACCATCAAGACCAAAATATTCGCCGAGGAAGTCATCAACTTCAACATAGTCAACAAGTTCGGCTGTTCGAGCATTAAAGTCACCTGTTAAAGTTATCAGTTCAGAACATGATCGTTGATAGACAACTTCTCTTGTCAATTCAGCCCACATATCCTCGTGTGCGAATGATGAGTTCTCGGATGGTAGGTAGACAGAGCCAAGACACTGTCAGTTTTCATAAGTTCTTTTGATACACTACACCAAAATACATATTCGCAGGTGGCAGGTAATACATGTGTATGTTTTCTTATTAGATCACTAATAATAAACGCAAGTCCACCAGATTTAGCTGTAGTCTAGTAAGTCATATTTGTCAAGTTTTGTCTCACAAACACCATTAAAATGGTAACTATGGATCATTTGAACAAATTTTGGGTAATTTAATTTTGGTAACAGGCCACCAACATTAATAGCACAGTATTTCAGGGTTGGTTGGTTGGTTGGTTGGTTGTTAAACGCCGCACTCAGCAATATTCCAGCTATATGACGGCGGTCTGTAAATAATCGAGTCTGGACAAGACAATCCAGTGATTAATATCATGAGCATCGATCCACGCAATTGGGATCCGATGCTATGCATCAACCAAGTCAGCGAGCCTGACAACCCGATCCCGTTAGTCGCCTTTTACGACAAGCATAGTCACCTTTTACGGCAAGCATAGGTTGCTGAAGACCTATTCTACCCCGGAATCTTCACGGGTCCAGTATTTCAGGGTGTCGGTTATGTCGACGTTGTTATTACCTAAGTTTCCCGACTCCCGAGTCGGCTGATAGTTGGATATCACAACGGCTGCAGAGATAAACTTTGCTTAACAATAAACAATTAATGCTTTAAATAAAGAAACAGAATTAATCACTTACTTAGATTACCTCAATCTCATTAAAATCAGATACAAGTTCTCGCTATCGCCGAGGACATCCCATTACAGGTAACGTTAGATGAACCTTTCGCAAACTATGACCGACGAACGTTGGTACTTCTTAATTCCGTTTATCCGACATACTCGTTAATCCGACATAATCATATGCAACCAGCCATGTCGGACTAACGGGTACATGGAAATCAAGGGGATCTTGAACATAGCATAATGTATATTCACCTTAGTCTAAATACATGTTTTAAATACATAATTGCTAAAGATTTGATAACATCTTCATTGTTGGAATTCGGGTAATTAATCATTAATTTATCGTCTTTATGTGTAACATCTAAATTAGATATAAACTTTGTTCTCAACGTTTTACATTTTTCACAAACCTGAAACTCGTCACCAATCTCCGGTTTGGTACAATTAGTACGTATACAATTTTCTTGTTTCTACGACAAAGGCAGGGCGGGACAACTTAGGAATGGCCAGGAGTCCGAACTTGACCACACAGAAGGAAGCGAGCTACAAAAACATGTTTTATATCACTGGAAAGCTCTCGAGGAGACGAATCCAAATAATGTGTGTCCCAGTGTGTTCACATGTTCATAAGCTCAAAAATTGGCTCAGAAAATGCATTACTGCAGAAATTTCTGGCCGAATTTTTTTTTTCTGCAGAAATTTCTGGCAGTATTTTTTTTTTCTACAGAAATTTCTGGCCGAATTTTTTTTTTTCTACAGAAATTTCTGGCCGAATTTTTTTCTGCAGTAATATTTAGCAGAATTATTTTAATTCAGGAGAAATAAGATTCAATCATTGGATAGTTTAACCTGGAGTTGCTTCAAATGACCTTTTTCCTCAAAACAAACATTTTTAGTTCACATGATTACAAGCAATAAAATAAAACTAATTTCGTGAGATATTTCAAAAAAATATTTATTCACATGCTATATTACAAGACAATTTCTTGGGAGACTTTGCACTTTTCATTCTCATGAATGAGTCGTATTTTCTTGGGTGAGGTGATTTTTTCAGAGATGGGTCCTTTTCACAAAAGAAAATAGATGTATAGATGAGTGGATCCATATTGTCTAATATAATGGATAATGGCAGCCTATACGCAGCTAGAGTTTAACTTTACAATAGAGTCTGCGGAATAAAATGTATTATGAATGTAAATAGTGTGCTTTACTTACGTTTTCTTCTCAACATATTTGAAATGAATTCTTTTTTTCGTCTGGTCATTGAAAGCTATGTGCACATATTCTGAAAAGATATGAAAAAAACATTAAAATGCTTTTCATTTCAGTAATTAACACATTCCACAAACTTTAGGCACATGAACAAAGTAAGATAAGTGAGGTGAGTTGAAATTGGGTTGAATGTCGCGTCCAAGATAATTGCACTTATATAGCATGTGCGTGCGTGCGTGTGAGTGTGTGTGTGTGCGTGCGTGCTTGTGCTAGTCGTCTGCATCTTCCGTTTTGTATAGGTCACTCCATAAGTTGTCAGTGACTGCATACTTGTGTAGGGGGCACTCAATGTTCACACTGTCATGAAGCTGAAATTATATAAGGATGAGTATACTGCGAAAATTACATTGGATTAATTGGTTAAAAGAGACTTATGTATCATGTTTGGGAGAGGCATTCAGATAAGCAAAATTTGCTTGTTTGCCAATCCCTCCACTTTATGGAAATAGATATGTTTATATCAAGAGACTTCTAAACCATAACCGAACTCAAAACTAACCCCATGTGTCGTAAATGGGTGCTCTAAGGTAAAAGGATGGTAAACACGTGTTTCATTGGCAAGGGGTACTCAACCCTTATGATCGGAAAGGGGGTCCAAGGACAAAGGAGAGACCAGACCTACTACCCAGAGGGGCCAGCCTGGTACAAGACTTAGCGTAAAGCTAGCCTAGTCTATGTCATCAGCAGCTGGTCACTGCGGCGGAATGTGGTTTTGGCGTTGCTGTTCAAGTTCGAATTTCCGATAGGCCTGTCTCCACTAAAAAAAAATAGATAAATTTTCGGACAGCATAATCTGATGTCAGATCTTAAAAAAGTCCCGAACGACTGTGAAACCATGGTAAGAAGTATTATTATTATTGAGGTGAGGTGAAATTGGGTTTAACGTCGCGTCCAAGATTATTGCACTTATATAGCGACGTGCGTGCACGTGTATTTGTGTGTGTGGCTGCTTGTACTAGTCCGGACTGATGCCGATTTATAGTGCTAGCTCACTGAGATACCATGCCGCAGTTTAACATGAATACCCCACTCAGACACAGTATACTGACTCCGAGCCGACCAGTCCTTGTTTCAGCCCCTTAATGCCGAGCGCCAGACAGGGTAACAACAAGTACAATCTTTTAACGTCTTTTTGTATGACGCGGCCCGGGATCGAACCCTGGACCTTCCGCTCTCCGGGCGGACGCTCTACCACAAGACCACGGAGGCGGTCTATTATTATTGAAGCAACCTTCCCAAATGTGTGTGCTGCATAAGCCGGAGTGGTTCCCCTTGAATTTCCAAAATATGAATCGACAAACGAAACGAAACATATCCAGTTGGGGGTTATTCTTTTTTAGTTTGGTGGGAAAATGATATGAAACACTGGGGTCTGACTGACTGATATAGGAGATTTAACGTGCGCTTTCCGACTGTAGCGTATTTCGCACACGGGCCTGGCCGGACCATTTATTGTATTCCGAAAAGGGTGAAAGTGATGTGTGCAACCCAAGAGGGGGGTTTTAGGGGTTGCTTATATTGAAGTTTTGGAATTTTTAAATTTGGAATAAATGCCGAGGTGGGTGGAGGAGGGAACTAAGGGAGCCGGGTGAGGTGGATGTTTGTATGTTTATTGGATTTTGGATTGGTAGAATAATTAGTTTTTAGATGCGCTTAATTAGGTCTGTTTTGATTAGGAATACGCCTAGGGCCTTGAAGTTTTCTGGTATATTTTGAGGGTTTAGTATTTCATCTAGAGTAGGAACCTTATTTAGATTGAGGGTGGTTTGTAGTGTGGTTCTGTGTGTTTGGTAGTGGGTGCAGTGGATGAGTGCGTGTTCTGTGGTTTCGGGTTGTTTGCAGTGGGGGCAGTTGCCTGTGATGTGTCTTTTAAGGTTTTTTAGGTGGTTATTTAGGTTCGTGTGTCCTATTTGGAGTTTTGTAATAAATCTGTCAATTTTTTTAGAGAGGTGTAGGATTTTAGGTTTTGGCTAGTGGTTTTCTGAGCACTTTTTTGATTTGGCTATTTGAGTTTTGATATTGATTATGCCATTTTATGGTTATTTTTTGTTTGTTTACACTTTAAATTCCCCCCCCCCCCCCCCCCTAAAGTAGCACGCTAAAGGTTTTCAATATATTCGATAACATACTACTTAGATGCGAACTGTTTAATTGACAGCTGTTAATTGGTAACGGTCAAGCCTCAGTGAATTTGCATTGGGAGTGTGTGTGTGAGGGGGCGTCTGAAATAAAGGTGGATTCAGTCGGAATAAAGATAAGATAATGATCTCATAAATTTTATTGAAGGCTTTGAAAGTTTAGGATCGGCGAGACCGTAACACAGAGTAATTAACAAAACGATCACGTGATCGTGGCGCTGATAGACAAAACCCACCGACCACGTGCGCGAGACAATGTATCACCGTATGAAGTGACAATACCCGAGGATATTTAATTGCCAAGTTGGCAGGAAGTCTGGCGGCACGGCACGTACAATATGCGTCGTTTGGGTATTCTATATTGTCTCAGCACCAGCTTTGATGGGGCAATAAGAAAAGATGATATATATGTTTATTTTAGGAAAACATTAATACAACAATTTGTTATATTAATATACATAGGGTCTATAAAGTTATTTTTATCTAAATATTTCTAACGTTATAAATAATAGAAAACTGGCATGTAAATCATCAAAATACTGCATGGATTGGTATTTTGTAATTTTCCGTGTTTTCACTTTCACTGATCACCACAGGCAAATTCATGGTCACATAGCTACACTACAAGTGTCGCCATACAGCTACAATAAGTTGCCTAATGTACATGTAGACAGTATACAAGTCGCAATAACACCATAGGGGATGGAGATATCTCCTTTTCAGATTAGATTGTTTGCGTATTTTTTTATCAAAAGTGGTAGAAATAAATACACTAAAATTAGACTCTTACAAATCGCGTTTCGCATGGCAGCAGAGCCACACATTCACTGTTTGGAGTACAGGTTGTTATTTGGTTGTTGTTATATGAAATAACCGTGTTACCAAAATTCCACGTTCTAGGATCGGCGTTTCCAGAAATAAAACAACAAATATTTTGACGTCTTACCTGTATCGTAACTGCAAGACGGTAACCAGACGCTGTAACTCTGCTGACTGCACGTGGTTCGGGATCTTTGCTGTGGCTGAAATAAAGAGTGCTATGTTTTACAGAAAGAGACCACGTTGCTTGTGCCATTGTTCAAAGACATTGTGCGTAGGTACGATTCTGAATATACACGAATATATACAAGTCACATGACAAAGAAGGTATTTACATGAAAGATATTTCAAATCTCGATGTTAGAGACCTTGAGAAATGTAGATTTAACTGAATCCAATCCGATTTAGTGTTACTATCATTCATTACAAATGGATAATACGATATTGCATTATAGAGAGGGTAATTATAGCTACCTGAAGGAGCAACCATATGTCCACTCTTTGATGTTGCCGCCAAACCGGACGCGTTATTGTAACTCGCAAGAACACTGTGTACACAGCTTCTTTCTAAATTTGGAGTAGCGTAAGTGTGGTGAAAGAACAATATGAATGTAAGTCAGGCATGAAGTTGCACGGAGGAACCAACGTGAGACTTTATAATCACATGGTTGTTCATATATGTTGTTTAATGCTTGATAGGTATTACCGCTTAAAAGGTGGTTTTGTATTTATAATAAAAACTGATCGTTTACATTTAACATAGAATATAAAAATAGTTTTGTCTGGGTAGCAACATAACTGTTGCATAGGGTATGTTGTTTAATGATAATACTATATGAAAATTCCTCGAGCCAGCTGACTTACACTATGGATAGTGTACAAGGCAACAGTTATAGAACATCACGTGATAAAGTTGATGGAAACGGCAAAATATTTATTTACAATATATGTGTTTCCAGGGGAAGAGCCTGTTACAAAGTCTGTGTCTAAAAAAAAGTAAACTCGCTCCTTGTCGGACAAAACTGAATGTAATTAAGTTAACTACCTATGTACAGTATCAGTGGAGTACTTGAATTAATATCAAATTGTAACCCGAGATGCTGGTGCCACACCTTATTACGTGACCACCCAGTGAGGCGTAAACACTCAGGGGCATGATATACACCCTTGTGTTTGATTTGATATACCAATCAGCCGTGGACGCCCGACCATAAAAATGGTATATATAGATTTAACCCTAATCAGGTATCGTTAAATATCGTTAAATCGTCGAGAACGTTCTGTCAGACGATCAAACGATAACAATTCAACAAGTCGGTAAATCACATCGAAAACCCAAGTTCTGGTCGCAGTGAGAAGCTCTGGATACCTTGAGGAGGTTTCACCAGCTCTGCTTCAACAACGTTGACATGGGTAAGGCATTTTATTCTATTTTTGTACACCAAACACTGTATATATCTTGAAGAACCTTTGCCTTCTGTTTGGATCATGGTTTCTTTATGAACATATTCACTGAACATGTTGCTACCCTATTACAGATCTTACCAACGTCATCAACAGTCAAGGCAGACATCTTTCTTCAAGAAATCTGCCCAAAAGGAAAAACACTGAAATTGGTAAGTAATGCTTATGTGCAATGTCGTTAACTATAGTTCATTTATTGCATCGGCACTATTAGGTAGAGTTGAGCTACGAACGCGAAAATAAACTGGTACGGCGAATGTAGGGGTGAGGTACTCCATCGGCTTCGTTGCGCTGGGTTTTTTTACCACCACCGACTGTGTTGCCAATTAAAATTTCGTTTCGGAATCAAAGCACGGTGCATGTTTTTTTTTTTTATCAAAATGTCAACATGATCTAGGAAAGGAAGAGCCAGGGTTCTGCGAACATACGCGGATTGTGTAGCCTTTATATATATATGGTTTCGCGTGGCATTATATTGGTGTTACGTACGTAGTATACCAGGTAAGTGTTGCCCTCGTTGCCCACAGGGCCATGACTTAATTAGGGTGCGAGTTGGTGGGTGGCTCGGTCTACTCGGTGGTGCTAACAGTAGGCGTAGGGCTAGGCAAGTTTACGAGACATACTCTCGCGTGGACCTAGTGATAGAACCCTTTCTTCGTTTTGAGAGGACATGTCGATATCGAATTTCGCGAATTTTCTTCTCGAATTTCTGGGCAACAATGCAGTTTACCGGGCGCAGCCCGAGCTCTACCATCCGCTCAATTACCGCGCTATAGTGCCACGCTGTCTCGTTATACCGTTACCGTGCCTCACGCTCTGGTGACTCTCGCTTCACGATCCAACACCCGTTTTCGGTCTTAGGGAAACTTACACATCTTTACAATCAAACACCCGTTCTCGGTCTAAGGGAAACTTACACATCTTTACGATCAAACACCCGTTCTAGGTCTTAGGGAAACTTACACGTCTTTACGATCCAACACCCGTTTTTCGGTCATTAGGGTTAGCTGGCTTTGGGCAAGGGTTAGCCATAAATTCTTACTTTTTCAAGCGTTAATTCAGTTAATCCCATTGGTTGTTGACATAAACAATTGCGGGTGTGGTTTCAAGAAAAGATGAATGGGAGAGCGGGCCGTGACGTCACACGCATGCGCAATTCATTGTTTACTCAATTACACATGCATGTCAATGGTGATTCTAATGACCTGTTAAACGAGCACTGATTACTTGTGATAGGCCTGTGGTCCAGTGGTAGAGCGTCGGCTAATTAACGCATTAATTAGCAGAGCCGGTGAGTCGGGGAAGCGCGTTCGAGCCTCAACAGCGCTAATTGGATCTGAAAAAGTGCGCACTTATCCCGATTTAATGGGTCATTATTGTGTAATTGGTATCCAAGCACAACATGTCTTTTTGTGATATTTCCTTTCCAGTTTCCAGTGAATTCTATGCTTGTCTTAAGAGGCGACTAACACTATTGCGTGGTCAGGCTCGCTGACCTGCATTGATGCTCATGATATGAATCTCTGAAATGTCTGGTCCAGATTCGATTAATTACAGACCGCTGTCATATAGGTGGAATATTGCTGAATGCGGCAGTAAACAACAAACCAAACCAAAACATATATTACTGTCTACATATCCTATTGGTAGGGAGTTATGTAGATGTTTATTTAGAAACCAGTGGAGCTTAGTATCCACAGTGCACATATATGGGTTACGTTATTGTAGTTTGTCCAATATTATTAGTAAAGGATGTAATGGGATTTGTTTTGTAATGGGATCGTGCCATGTATGTCAAGACATTTGTTTGTACATTATATTTGTAACACACGTTTAGAAGGATAGAAATTTATCTTTGTCTTAGCTAAATGCTTGGTACGGGCCTGTTGAATAAATTCAATGTTTGTCTGGTAGGCTTGTCTAATTTTGGAGGAATTGTGGATTTTTGAGAATGGAAATTGGCAATTGTTATATTTGTATGACTATCCAATTACATTAAAGTTGCAATTTATGTATTGTTCAAATATTTATTTGACATTTCCAGGACCAGTCAAGCTGCAAGACTTTGTCGGCCAGTCAAAAGTGGACGCTGCAATCCAAGGTATCACTTTTAGTGCTATCATGAAGATAGTTATCAATGAAATTATTGGTATATGACTCCACATACAATATCATGTATAGCATATTTATTCCTTGAGGCTATACTATACAATTCAAAGTAAATGCTGAAGTCACATGTGGTTAATATTTTTATAATTTATGTAAATTGTTTTAAACCACATTAGAATTGTTTTGAAGCAAGTATTTCATGTCCAGTTGCTCATCCTAAGTATAAAAGAATCTGCACACAATGTTGAAACTATTTAAATGCACAAGATTGATTTTTCTCTCAATATTCAAATCAATATTCTGTAAAAATAAACAAGTTTTGTACAATTTGATTTGTTTTCATAGTGATAATACTGATGTAAATACTATTTTCAGGTGAAACTTTCTTTCTCATGGTGGGGCACACGCATGAAGATTTGGGTCAACTGTTAAGTGTTTAGTGCAAGGGAACTTAGACAGAAGCCTGCAACAACCCGCGATGCCCTCCTTCAAGATTGGGGACATCCGGACACCCACCACCAAGCTATCAGACTTCAAGCCCTTCATGCCTGCCCCAAGGGAAGCGACAACCTTCCCAACTAAAGTTCAAGAGGCAATAGAGAAGAACAATGAAAAACTGCAAAAACAATCAAAGGTAATTTCAATAAATATTGCATTTCTTTTGAAATATGTATTGTGATGTGTAATATTAGGGTTAGTCAGCGTTACTTAGAGTATGTGTAATGGGGGCAGAGAAACAACCCAACTTCATGAGGTTACTATTTTTGCTTTTATTGTATAGATGCACTGTGATTTTAATTATGTTCTCATATTCTTTACATTTTTTTTCTTTACTTTCAGATCACTCTGACAAAGCACCGAAGACAAGCGTCAGTATCAGAACAATAAAGAAGGAGCAGCAAGTTTTGCTGAAATGAACATATTTTTTGTCTAAGCTATGTGGCTGAGATATTGCCGAGGATTGCATTGCAGGAGTTTTGTACTTTGTATGTTTTTGTTTCTTAGTAAAGCTGTGTATTTAGAATTGTATATATATATACATATATAAGATGAGATGTGCACAATGAAATTTATGAAACAATATATGCAGTTTTATTGTAAAATCTTGGTTGTGTTCTATTTTTTTCCATGTCTGAAGTTAACCTACTTTCAGAGTACCGTATATCACATGTAGGTTGTTTCTTTGAATTCCAACTGGGGATTATATATTTGGTTGGCCCGATGGAATAATTATGAAATTTATTTTTTGAGAATCACATTCACCTTTAATGTTGTACACTTCAAAGTCGTCAAAAGGCCATTGAAGATGGTCACTGACATTCTCATAATAATTTAGATAATTATAGGGTAAGCTCAAGGTTCAATGATTTGCATCTAACTAGTATACAAAGGTATGAGGCCAACATGTTGTTCCATTGTTTAATTCGAGTGACGTCAACTTTTCTTGATAAATTTGGTAAATATAATTCCAAGATAAATATCTTCAATTGCTGAATTCAATTCAAACTATCCAATGATTGAATCTTATTTCTCCTGAATTAAAATAATTCTGCTAAATATTACTGCAGAAAAAAATTCGGCCAGAAATTTCTGTAGAAAAAAAAAAATTCGGCCAGAAATTTCTGTAGAAAAAAAAAATACTGCCAGAAATTTCTGCAGAAAAAAAAAATTCGGCCAGAAATTTCTGCAGTAATGCATTTTCTGAGCCAATTTTTGAGCTTATGAACATGTGAACACACTGGGACACACATTATTTGGATTCGACTCCTCGAGAGCTTTCCAATGATATAAAACATGTTTTTGTAGCTCGCTTCCTTCTGTGTGGTCAAGTTCGGACTCCTGGCCATTCCTAAGTTGTCCCGCCCTGCCTTGACATCTATTGACATGGAAGTTATGGAGAAATATTCTTAATTTACAAAGAACTCTCAATAGAGATTTATCTTGTGAAACAGTTAAATATTTTTTTCTGGTTGTAACAATGATTTGATACTAGCATAACGCTTGAGAAAATGTGAAGAGGCTTGCTGGTGCCAGTTTTGTTTACAATTGATATATCTGATAATCTTTGTTGAACTGTATTTAAAAAATAGGTTTTTTTCATTACCGGTGTTTTGTGAGATCCATACAAAGGAAAATCCAGAATTAAGTAATACACTTCTTACACCAGACACCCAGTTCGTTTCCCCTTCATCGTCTAATTGCTGTAGAATTTTGAAACATTGAAATGGGTACCTGTAAACTTCCATCTTTAATAATTTTATCCAATATTTAAGAACACGCAGCTGGCTATGTACATATATGCTACAGCGACGAGTTAAGTACTGCCTCATTTGACGCATATTTACCAATGCATACAAATCGCTTACTAGCGATGGTCTTACAAGCCACGGACAAATTTAGTCATGGCGACATTATGAATCATTATTATTTATAGTAACTAGCAACTTATAAATGTTTATCACCAGAAATCCAATTTTCCTGCTTCGATACAATTCCTTGATTCTAAAAATAATACCATTGGTTTTCTCAAGGTTTACTTGTGAACCCCTCTTAAACAGAAGGACCGCAATACATTAAGCTGTATCTGCAAGCCTACCACATAGAGTAGGACACCAGAGCAACATCATCCGCGAACAGCAATAGCATAATATCTGTAATGTCTTGTGTCACTAACTCTGAATTGCCCAACACTTAGTTGTAGAGTAATTCTGTCTGATTGTTTACCTTGGTAGGAAATAAAAACATAACTATTTGCATAACAATGATGTAGTAGATTCCGTGTACTATATCTAATACTTTTTCATGTTGTTTGTAAAATAAAACATCGTGCTATATTCTATCGAATGATTATTAATGATCTCAGAAAGGATCATAGATTGCAGTGTACCTTTACATTTAATATTGAATGCCTTCTATCAAAGTAAATAATATGACTAAAAAAACAAATTGACATGATAGCTCCGTGTTTTTTTAAATAAAACCTGTAGCATATCAGGAAAGCCTGGATAATGTCTGGGTAAGCCTACACAAATTGACTTATTTACGTTTAAGGGGTAATTTTTCAAAGAGCTTGCCCAGACATGATGTTAAATTACCAACTCTATCATTTCGAGGATCAGATCTCTCATTCTCTCCTTATTTATTGGTATAACAATGTCTAGTGTATGGTCATAGGGTGCATATAAATGTTTTATCATATGATTAAAATGTATGCATAAGAAAGATGTAAGATATTTGCCTGCATAAATATTATGTTCCTTTGTAATCTTATGCAGACCTGTCGATTTATACCTGCCGAGGGATTTTACACACTCTCTTCTGCGACGTAAATCCTTTTTCTCTTTCCATGCCAGGCCCCTCCTTAAATATATGTACATGTACCTTACTGGTTATGTCCTCGTCAAATCTTTCAGAATGGTAGGGGTTGGCTAAATCTGAAATATAGTTACCCCCCATAATCTCCAATATTTAAGGGTGCAGAACCACTTTCACCCTTAAGTATGTGTATATCAGCCACCCGCCCGCGTTGTTTTCTGACCAGTTTTATATAAGGGTTATATAAGATCCGGACAGAGCTATGCAAATCACTCTGTTCCTGTAATAAACTTTGGAACGCACAAGTTGATCTACGTCATCTGTGTCTACATTAATCTTTCTTAACTTTATGGTAAGCCCTTTTCATGTGTTGTCACCTAAATTACATTTTAATCTCTATGTATATTTTATGTTTTTTATTTGTATTGATACTGTGAACATTTGATACTTGAATTTGCTTGTTCAACGTCAGCAATAATATTTAAGTCTTATTAATAATCGGAGAGTATATGTATATTATTGTTAAAAGGCTTGCATAAAGCACTCCTATTGTAAGTTGTATGCTTAATGCCATTGAATGACCTGTAGTTAGGGAAGCACGGTATTCAGTAACGTCAATACCGTAGTCATTCCTAAATAAGGTATCATTAGTATAACATACATTCCGCTGACGTTGGCAATACTTGTATTTCGTTTATATACTGAACCGCAACAGAAACGTCACCCCAAGTAACATTGCATGAAAAGTTGTCATTTGAATATCTGGGTAATTTTTGTCAAAGTTTCTAAAATTTAACATTACCCTGTCCGGGAAAAATGAAATTTGATCATAAAAAAACAAAGCAGATGACAATAAAACCCATCGCCCAAACGCATCACGGCAACGGCCATGGTAACCCGATGCACATGGGTTCCGTGCAAATTGAAATGTACATGCGTTCTCCAATTTCTTGCCCCATAAAAATCCACCCAGACCGGATAACATTCATTCGTTATTGAATTGCTACCACATGCCAAGATTGACAAGAAATCAGCGACACCAAGCCCTTGGACGATTGCAAGCTAGACAAACCGCCCAGCAAGTAGCCAATGCATTTCAAGTCCACGTAAGGACCATATACAGGCGCCAAAAACGGTACCAGACCGCCAACACTACAGATGACCGCCCAATTAGTGGAAGATCAAGGGCCACCAACCGACGTCAGGATCGTCAGATTGTGCGACAGCATCTTCAAGATCGCTTTGTTACTGCTGCGGAAACTGCACGACAGACCATCGGGACACACCAGCGACACAGTGCGGACACCGTCTTCAGTGGGCAACACCGCACCATCATTGGCGCCACCAGCAGTGGAGAAGAGTCCTCTTCTCAGACGAGAACCGTTACTGAATCTCAACAGCAGATGGCAGAGTGAGAGAGTCTGGCGACGTCGTGGGAAACTTTATTCAAATGCTTGTGTTGTTGAGAGAGACTCGTGGGGTGGTCCGAGCATCATGGTGTGGTCTTTGCACAGAGGGTCGGCCCTGTGTTCTTCCAGAACATCGTTCGAGGGAGAAGCAATGGTGTCACAGCAGCTCGGTAAATTGATCAAGTCTGGAGACCACATGCCATACCTCATTTGGCACGTCGCCGCAACCACGAGTTTCAGCATGATAACGACCGTGCCCACACTGCGAGAGCAGCAAGAGACTTCCTCCAGCAGAATGGCATCAGGACCATGCAGTGGCCTGCCCTCAGTCCCGATTTATATCCCATTGAGCACCTGTGGGACGAGATTCAAAGACAGCTGAATGACGTCCGACCAAGGCCGACAACTGCAGCTGAACTGCGTCAGGCATTCCTCAGAATGTGTCTCAAGTGCCAATGGCCTTCATCAACCGCCTCATCATTTCCATGTATCGACGTTGCACGGCAGTCATCAATGCACATGGCGGACACACGAGATACTGCGAGTGTTGTGTTTCACTTCAAGAACATTTGACACATTAATTTAAAACTTGATGATCAGTTTTGCCAAGTTTCATCTTTTTAATATGTCTCAAAGTATGTTTCAAGTGTTTGGAAAACTAAGGTTTCTCCTATATCTATCCATGGTGACGTTTCTTTTGCGGTTCAGTATATATGTTTTAGTATGTTATCTATATAGCCATGTTCCAATTTATTTGCTTAGACTGATGTAATTATTTATAACAATTAATATCTGTAGTAATGTAGGTATTCCATTTCATATATATACATATGTATGTATTCCAATCACTGTAAAGTTATCTACTAATTATGTATTGACTCTGCTCCTGTAATAAACTTTGGAACGCACAAATTTCTCTACGTCATCTGCATCTACATATTCTTACTTCTACTTTAAGGACTAGTTAGTGATGATGATCATTAAAGTATGTATCTAACAGAATATACCCCGAATACATTCCAAATAGCTTCAATGGCATTCCTATAGACATCCTAGGCTGAGGCATTTTATCAAAGGTCCCATTCTTCACATTCTTAACATTCGTGCATAATTTAATGACTCCGTCCTCATTGTGACATCAAGCATGTATATTAGCATAACACTAGACCAATGAATATACATAGGGCACCTTGTTTTTCAGGTGGTCTAGGTCCACATTTCACTCTTCTAGTACTAATCTCTGAAGTCGCAAACTTTATTCCTTTCCATTACTGTGTCCATCTTGACGCCTATCACGTCCAACTGGCTGTCACTAATATACCAGCGGCCTCAACAGACCAAATACACTTGCAATGATCTACTCAAACAATGTAGCGGTTAAACTTATACGAATGGAACACATATAAAGGATACACCATAAATGACACCATGTGTTCGCGAAAAGGGTAACTATGTCAATCAATACGGGTAGCACCCGCCACTCAAACAATTTGTACAAATAAGTGTTTGCATTATCAACATCATACTATAAACTCCTGGTTTGTCTGGCCCTTTTTACAACAGTCGCTATGAATAATGCGACAAGAAAAATATAAACAAACATACAGTTACTTAAAAATATCAAGTCCGCAGTTAACCTGTAGCAAGTCGTCCTTTCTGTAGTAAATTGGCTTCTTTTTCAGCAGAATGACGGGAACCTACAAAGGGCATATCACAGTTATAGTCCTAGTCCTCATGATTTGGACTGTAATGGAGTATGCTGCTTCAAACTACTGGACTCGAATGGACACAAATGACTTCATTGCCCCAGCAAAGTACCCTGGTGTGGACCTAAGTGTGTCAGCTGAGAGTCCTCGGTGCCCGGATGTGAAGACAGGGATGATGAGAGGAAGATGGAGGCCTCGCATTCTGACTGCACAAGAGAAAGTAGACATAGGCTCATTTCTCAAGTCAGCCCGACATCGTACCCCAAAGCCAATGCAGAGAAGCGACGGAAAATGTGGGAACGTGGCATATGAAAACGTTTACTACATACGTGCGCTGTGTAACCCGGCAGGTCCTACGCCATGTTGCTATGGTGATACGTGCATCAACAAGACCCCGGATGACTGTAAATGTCCGAACTGTTACGATCTTCGTACTGAGATTCATGCAGAGTACTCTACGTGGGAGCCCGAAGACTCCCGATGTCAGGTGAAGAACTTCACAGCTCAGCAGGCATGTGTTCTACTGAAGGGGCTGACAATAGCCTTTGTAGGAAATTCTTTTGTGCGCCACGTGTACACGGCGCTGCTGTTGTTGATGACCAACTATGATATTAATGGTGCCTTCATTGCTGGTAAACCAAAAGGTATGTATATACTTACCATACTGAAAATATATGTTGCAAGTGGCGAGGGACGGGGGACTTGACATTCTTTTTGGGCTGGGTGTGGTGGGATGCTGGGAGTTTTGTATGGTGTGAGTGAGTTTGATTTTACGCCGCTTTTAGCAATTTTCCAGCAATATCACGGCGGTTTTGTATGGAGATATATATATACTAGATATATTTTCAGCTACATATGGCTCTTAGTATGTAACCAAAAAAACACATAGCAATATCCATGGCAGCCACAATCATTATTGTTCAACAAGCTGAAGCATAATTATTTTAAATTGTTTCATAATATTATGCATTTCTTAGAAGTTGACGGATGGCAAAGTAGACACAATTTATGGATAACAATTTCTTTATTTTCACTGTAAAGGCGACGTTTCGGTATAGATCGTTATACCGTTGTCAAGGCTTAATAATGCTGCTACTGCTGATAATGTATAGGCTTTACAACCGCTTCAGAAACAATGCTTTGGCAGTCGGGGTCAGGCGGGGGAGAATTTGGAGATATATCATGTGGGTGTGGTTTGGCCAGTTTTGATTGATGTAATTAAGTGAGAATTATTTTCTGTGTTGCTTATTTTGAGGTGCAATTGGAATAAGGTGTGTAGTGACGTGTCATTTATGTATGCATTTGGGAGTGGTGCATGTTTAATATTATCTAGTGTGTGTGAATTAATTTGTGTAAATGGGTCAGGTTGGGGACGTGTCTTGAACTGTTGTTTTTGAACTTCTTGAGTGTTGCAGGTCTTGTGTTTTGGTATATTTGTTTGATTAGTTTATATGTTGGGTTTTGATTTGAGTTTGGTAGTTGAGGCTTATCTGGTCTCGCCTGAGGGGGATTGATGTTATTTATCGCTGATTGTAGGAGAATGTTATTAAGGGAGGCACTAGTTCTTGTACACAGTGCTATTTCAAGGGCTTTGTATTGGATTGACATTAGTTTATTGGAGTTTTTAGCAGATAGGGTGTGGCGGACTGGAGCGGCGTAGTCCAGTTTGGTCTGTATACGGGTTTTGTATGTGTTTAGCAGTGTTTGTTTGTCCGCACCCCAGTCGGTGCGCTGATGTCTCTCATTAGATTTATGCCATGTTGACAGGAATTGACCAAGTTAGAACTGTGTGGTGCCAAAGTTACGTGTTGGTCGAAATTACTTCTTAACATATTGCTTCTTTTTGGTATGTGATTGGATCATTTATAAGTTGTAGTTAGAGTGTTGAATTTGGCATGACGGGTGTTTTATGTAGAAGAGGCCCAGAAGGAGATGTCGTCAGCGAATTTTGCTGAAATAGCTTTATACCAACCTCAATAACTGACGGAACATACTCCTACATGCAAATCTCTCCGTATTTCCATTTCGGTATTTCCTTGTTTTCTTATAAAACACAAACATGTCAAGTCATCCTTTCTAAGTAAATAGTGTTCTATTTGAAGGTCGTCCTTGTACAAGAAATTGTCGTAGTTTTATTATATGTTTGTAAATGCAGGGTTTCAGAAGGGTCAAGTGATAGCGGTACAGAGACAGTGGGAAAGTCGAGTAGTAACAGGGTCGGCTATTCATGTCAAAGACTTCATTGCCCACGTGGACACGCTATGTAAAATCTATTCTTGATGTTTCCCGCCGTATCATGAGAGGAAAATGCGGTTTAAAACCAAACGCCTTCTGCGTCTCCCCGAACGCCAAACATGAACAATTAGTATAAACCCTGTGTGCCAAGTAACAATATTTATTCTGATTCTATTTCAGCCATCCTTTGCAACGGAATGTACGGATTCTCGGATGCACTATGTAGGGAAAGGCTCAAGAGACAAGTAACTCTCTGTGGCGGGAGTGTGACTGTCAAAATGTTGGAATACAATCGAGCCTTGGTGGCGACACAATTCCATAAAGATTTTCGTTCATTTCTTCATAAAAAGAAAACAATGGTTCTAGTTGGTATTGGGATCCACGATCATTTCAACTTTAAAAGCGTGTTTAATGAATATATGTATCCCGTTATTGACATGATGAGAAAGAACAAAGCTTCATGGCCAAAGATGATCTGGTTTTCCAATCACAAATTTGGTATCCTGAAGTCTCCAAAGATGCCAACACAAAGTAATAGTCGCGTAGCAGCCTTCAACAAACGTATGTCTGAGGCTTTGGGGAAGTATCATATACCCATTTTTGACACTTATAATTTAACATCGGATGTGTCGAGCTCGGACGGGGCTCATTTTGGTATGGGTGTGAATGTCATGAAAGCGCAATTGCTTCTGAACTATTTGTTGGAAATGAAATCAAAACGTTATTGGTGAACCAATGAACTAACCATGACATGAGTTAATACTTGATTCTGATCGGTTAATGAAGTCAATCAGAGATATACAATCACGTTATACGGATCTCTGATGAGCGGCTGCGCAAATATATATTTACGGTAATACACTATTTCGTTTGCCCACCAACATGTCGGACACAATCTACCGACACGACGATGGAGTACGGCGATTTGGCTGTAGGCAATTACACATCTGTTTTCGAAGTTGGATATAGTGATGATGAGCTCAACTCATTACTTCCGAATTATAGATTTAGGTGATTATATAAGTAAATTACTTCACAAGCAGAGAAATCAATATTCAGTCGAACTTGGTTAAAGGATCGTCTGCTTTCCTAAAGATTCAGCAAGAATAAATTGTTGTGTTAATTCCAAATCATCGCAAAATAGATGAAGCTATTGATTGTGAAACAAATTACACATTAAGTTAAAATTAATATCAGATTTCGTTGAGGATATGGCTGATTATGACCCGTTATGACATCGACATCGAACACCGAGGAAAAGCCTTCAGTCCCAATAAATATGGACACTTTTGGTAATAATTGAAACATAACCATATATTTAGGAGCAAAATGGTGAGGGTTTTTTCAGAGTAGCGGTAGTATGACATATAAATATAATTATAGATGTCATTCAAAAGCATACCGATTTAAGGCCCTACATGATATATTTTCTCAAAAATATAATTTTATTTAAAACACTAGATTCAGTCATGATCCCATTGTTATGTGTTTCTGTTTTAAGGCCGAACTCAGCAATATTCCATCTTTATGACAGCGTTCTGTATATAATCGAGTCTGGACAAGACAATCCAGTGATTGGCATCATGAGCATCGATCCACGCAACTGTGATGCGATGACATGCATCAACCAAGTCAGCGAGCCGGACCACCTGATCCCGTTAGTTGCCTCTTACCACAAGCAGAGTCGCGTTTTTCGGCAAGAATTGGTTGATGAATACCTATTCAACCCCGGATCTTAACGGGTCTATCCAATTGTTAGATAACATTGCTTGAACTACCGTCTTCTGACGTACATTAATTTGTTTAAGATTGATCATAAGTTAAAACATATTCCTAGCAGATACCAAGGGTATCTTACTACAACGTCGCAATCTCCTCGGTATCTCCAGGTAGAACAGAACGTGTGTATTATATAAATCACCAGCTGTTGCAGACGAATTTCATTTTTTCTTTCGCTGTCAGGCATTTCAAGAATACATGAAATTGTATACACCACATAAGTACTTGTGTTTGTCAAATACGATCTCTTTTCAACGACTACTTTGTACATCAAGCTTTAAAGAAATGTCATGCTTATCGATGTGTATAGTATACAAGAAACTAAGATCTACAATAACTAAAGAGACTTAATAGCCAATAGTTCAAGCCAATAGTAATAGCATAAGTATGTCTTAGTTTGCTTTTGTACCCCCATTTAGGTTTACAGATATAGAGAAGGTTCAGGGACGCGAACAAATGGGACGATAAGCCCTTCATCCATTTCCGTGACATATCACAGCGGGGAGCTGCATGTATGAATGAGTTTCCCTTCACACATTGTACTGGTGAGAGATTGTGAACCTGGTAGGTTAGGGTATGATGTAGTCAAACCTTGAGGGTGCGATGGGATTCCTAGCTCAAGGTGAAGCTGAAAGCGGTGATTCCCATGCCGACCGAAGTGAGGTCGTTGACCATCTTACTAGGAGTAAAAATAACAGAAACCAGTAAACTGCCTCATCTATTTCATATTTAGATCTATTAATAATGATTCAGAGTGACAAAAATGACCTCAACATTCCAATAGGCAAACATATATTTAAGCATATTGATCATAAAATGAAACTATAATCGTTAATATAATGATCTGAAATGGTGCAGCCATGCATTGAAATATGTACAGAATCTCACCCTCGTGTCTTTTGGTATCAAATATATCAACGAGTGTATAGGTGTTCGTGTATACGTACTATATGTATACATTGTGGAATGTTATAGGTGTTCGTGTATACGTACTACATGTATACATTGGGGAATGTTATAGGTGTTCGTGTATACGTACTACATGTATACATTGTGGAATGTTATAGTGTTCATGTATACGTACTACATGTATACATTGTGGAATGTTATAGGTGTTCGTGTATACGTACTATATGTAAACATTGTGGAATGTTATAGGTGTTCGTGTATACGTACTACATGTATACATTGTGGAATGTTATAGTGTTCATGTATACGTACTACATGTATACATTGGGGAATGTTATAGGTGTTCGTGTATACGTACTATATGTAAACATTGTGGAATGTTATAGGTGTTCGTGTATACGTACTACATGTATACATTGTGGAATGTTATAGGTGCTCGTGTATACGTACTTCATGTATACATTGTGGAATGTTATAGGTGTTCGTGTATACGTACTACATGTATACATTGGGGAATGTTATAGGTGTTCGTGTATACGTACTATATGTAAACATTGTGGAATGTTATAGGTGTTCGTGTATACGTACTACGTGTATACATTGTGGAATGTTATAGGTGTTCGTGTATACGTACTATATGTATAGATTGTGGAATGTTATAGGTGTTCGTGTATACGTACTACATGTATACATTGGGGAATGTTATAGTGTTCATGTATACGTACTACATGTATACATGGTGGAATGTTATAGTGTTCGTGTATTACGTACTACATGTATACGTTGGGGAATGTTATAGTGTTCATGTATACGTACTACATGTATACATGGTGGAATGTTATATGTGTTTGTGTATACGTACTACATGTATACATTGGGGAATGTTATTGTGTTCGTGTATACGTACTACATGTACACATTGGGGAATATTATAGGTGTTGTGTATACGTGCTATATGTATACATTGTGGAATGTTATAGTGTTCCTGTATATGTACACATTCATTTACATACATTTGTTTTAAATATATTATCAATGATTTTACAAAATTGTTGAAGATTATATGTGAAGTACGGAATGACTACAACTATTGTTTTATAATAAAATCTGTCTTTCCATGTTCGTTTTTGTTCTTTTGGAAAACAATATGTGTAGTTTTGCGGAAATGACAATGAAACGATTTCACCTATAACATTCCACAATGTGTACATTGTGTACGTACATGTACCAAGAGCTTTTGAAGCTCGTTTCAAGAATTTATTAATTGCATAAAAAGTCTTTGCTCTTTCTGCTTTCTCTTTCAAGAAATCATACACATTCAACATCAACTGTTTAACATCTGCTGAGTAGCGCATCTTGTCATTGAATGAACACGGTCACTGTGTAGCACGTGCAGACCGTGTGGCGCTGTTCCTTCCACGGTTTGTCCCCCAACGTGTCATGTACACATTTCTATACAAAATTACATGATAATTTCTTAAAGAACTTCATCCGTCATGGGTATTAAAATAAACAAAATTCAGATTTTGTTGGGTACAGGGTATTCATGGTCAAGTAGCTTATTGATGTTTCATACACTTTTCTGGATTTCAGTTATTTTGCAATTCATCGTTCTCATTTGGAGTCAAACGGACTGCAAGTGAAAGTGCTCGACAGACCACAGGAACACATAATCGACACATTAGTCGGGACGCTGTGATCCGAAGTCTCCGTTCCAACAGCCTCAGATGTCGCCGACCAGCACGTCGTCCTGTTCTCGAACCACGGCATCGACAAGCACGACTTCAGTGAGCACAGGGTCATCACAATTGGCGTCATCGTGAGTGGAGGCGTGTCATCTTCTCTGATGAAAGTCGCTTTTGGGTCTCCCATGGAGACGGAAGAGTCAGAATTTGGCGGCATCGAGGTGATCGTTTCACTGACAGAAACGTTGTGGAAAGGAATCCATGGGGTGGACCTTGCGTCATGATATGGGCAGGGATTGGACTTAATGCGAGACTTGGACCCATGTGCTTTCTGAATGTTGGTCAAGGTCGGGGACACGGCGTCACTGCTCAGCGGTATATCTCCATTTTTACACAACATCAACAACACATTTTCCAGCAGGACAACGCTCGTCCCCATGTTGCCAGAGCTACCATGACATTTCTGCAACAACACAACATCCGTGTTCAACCGTGGCCATCCCTCAGCCCTGATCGAACACTTGTGGGATGAGGTTCAAGGGCGTCTGCACAATGTGCGCCCAGTCCATACAACTGCCGATGAACTACGCACAGCTGCTCTGGATGTGTGCAGGAGGATCCCTAGGGCCTTCACAAATCGTTTGATCCACTCAATGTACAGGAGATGTGTGGCAGTGATCAATGCTAATGGTGGTCACACCAGGTATTGACTGACATCCCACGACCCACTACCGTTCGAGTTTGAGGTTGATGCCTTTAAGGCTAGACTGATGGAGAGGACAGAAACGACCCCTAAACCCACTATCTGCAGACATTGTATTTTGTGATGGTACATTTTATGCCTGTCCCAAGTTGTTTGATCATATTTATTGCTTACATGCTGAGGTGTTTGGCCATATGTTTCCATTAGTATACTGTTTGTTGTCCAATCGAACAAAAGAGTGTTATGTCAGCATGTTTCAGTACCTGTGCGATTTTGCTAGTAGGTGAGGCCTAGAGTTTGCCCCACTTACAATTCAGTTGGACTTTGAACGTGCAGCTCACAATGCCGTGACTGATGTATTTCCTGGGACATTAGTTAGAGGGTGTTTCTTTCACTTCACCCAATGTATCTGGAGGAGGGTGCAGAAAGAAGGTCTGGTGATGGACTATAAGGAAGATGAGGAGGTTAAGAAGCTGGTGAGAAGAGCTGCTGCCCTCCCTCTAGTACCACGTGACAAGGTGGATGATGTGTGGCTTGATGCCATTGCCGACTCTCTTGCTGGCCCTAAAAGGACTGCCTTCATGGGCTATGTGAAACCAGTTGGGTTCAAGGACAGTCCTTCATCCCAGAGATTTGGAATCACTTCGAAAACCAAGGCCACCGTACCAACCTAGAAGAGTGGCACAACAAGATAAAGAGACTTGTCAAGAAGTGCCACCCGAACATCTACGAGGTAGCGAAGCTCTTTCAGCGCGAGCAGTCACTCACAGAGGTTGCAGTCCTGAGGCTCTCTCACCAGTGGTCAGAACCTTCACGAAGAAGGAAGTACAAAGCAATCGATGCTCGTATTGCATCCCCCAAGACCCAGCTCCTGAACCAACACCTGAGTGAGATGGAATATGCTGACCATGTGGACGACCTCCTTCATCTGCAGTAATGACATCATGGTAGTGTTCGGCATCATCAAGTCATGCAGTAGCGTAATACATCTGTGTCTTACATATAAGTGCAAACATTGTCATTGTTTTAGATGTGCTACACAACAATTCATTACACAATCGTGACCTGTAATGTGACAGTGTAATATGACCTGTCATGATATCCATCAATGTAATGTTTTGATGAATATATTATCCCTGTTATGATCTGAATAAGAAATGAGAAAACAAGACCTGTTAGAATCACAAAGCATGTTTTGACAGCATAGCCCCGCGAGTCACATCAATTTTGGCTATATATTTTCGAAATGTGCCTAGGCGGCCAGTAACCGTCCATTCATACTGAAGGTAATCAGAGCTCATTGGGGACAGCCACTGGTGCATAACATTGTTTTGATAATACTGTAGGCAAAGTGCACTGTAAGTGATAGTAGACCTATCCCCTATGCGATGTTGTTTAAGCTATCAAGTTAATCGCGACACCACTTCATGATGGAAATCGATTTGAAACTGATGAGTGTATTGATCTGCAGACAGTTTCAGCGTTGGTGTTATGCATATAACATGACAGTGCCCACACATCTAACGCAGGTGTATCTAGCAACTAAGGCTGTGTCTATACTATATACTTTGACACGCACCGTTACCCATTTCAACACAGCCAGGACCTGGACGTAGATAACAGATGATTCAGTCACATTTACACAAACAGCAACAAACGCGTACTCCGTGTCAGGGTCAACCAGTATGTCTCCCTCCCATCGGTCAGACAGGCCATTTGTCATACACCTTGTTATTGCCAATCGTCATACAGTTGATTGGGGGGGGGGGGGGGGGGGACCCAACACTCATAAGGTCTTTGTTACAACAATGTGAAATTCATAAAGGGTGAGTTGTTGTGAGCTGGTTATCTTGTGAGAAGAGGGTATTAATATGATCAAAGTCACTGTAAGTTCTTTTACTAACAAATAAGTAATAAGTTGTTTTAATAAATACTTTGCCCTTTGAGGTTAATAAATGTAATTCACGTAATCCTATGAAAGGAGACTAGAGATGTTTGAGATGAGAAACTGTTTAACTGATGAGATGTATTTTGTGACCACACAAATATGTATAAATACTGTATCAATTGATTTTACATCATTCACAATCATGGCTCTGCGACATGTAGAATACGTTACGTCAGCCCGCAGTGCCCAGCAGGTTCTCTTTGAAGGATACTTGTTCAACAAGAATGCAACAAGACAGACAGCACAACACTGGCGTTGTGAAATTAAGTCTTGCTCCGGCAAGTGCACTACTGTTGGTGATTTTGTCAGCAACATGAGGAAGAGGGCAAGAGAGGAAACAACCCCGATACAGCAGCTCTACACCCAACAGCTCTCTGAAGAAGATGATGACCAAGCCCAAGCCCTACATGCCTTCCCCAGCATGAGCAGTGCCCTTTACCGCCACAGAAGGAAGACCATTCCCGTCCTGTTCCAAACCAGAGCCCAAGTGGACCTAGATGGTGCCTGGAGCCATATATCAGATGGGGACCGCTTCCTCCTATTCAGCGATGGAGAAGAAAATAAGATCCTTGCCTTTGCCACAGATGAGCCGCTACAGATCCTACAAGGTGCTGAGACGATATACATGGATGGTACCTTTACCGCCTGCCCTGCGCTTTGGGATCAAGTGTACATACTTCACGTCAGAAGTGAATCTGCCAGATATCCCGCAGTTTATGCTTTGCTACCCGACCGCCAGACGACAACGCACAGAAGACTGTTCAGCCTTTTGAAGACCCAGGTTGCAGACACCCTGAACAGAGAACTTGCTCCCACTCGCCTGCAGACCGATTTTGAACAAGCAGCAATCCGTGCCATCCAGTTGGAGTTCCCCAACGCTGAAGTCAAGGGCTGCTTCTTCCACTACAGTCAAGCCATATGGAGGAAGACACGAGACCTCGGGTTGGCTGTAGCCTATACAGAAGATCCAGCAGTGCAACAGTGGATTAGACGGACAGCAGGTCTAGCGCTTCTCCCTGCAGATGATGTCCAAGACGCCTGGCTTTCAGATGTGTTTTCCGCAATGATATTTTGGGCAAATCAGAATATAATTTTTGTCCTCAATTTTGTAAACATTATTTTTATTACAAAATTCACAATATCTCATCTCCTTACAAATATTTTCATATCTTCCCGTTTCAATTCTATGTTTGTGGCATGATAATCCCAACATGGTACCATATCTCATATCCTTAGGATGCAGTACATCTACATACGTTTTGCTTTACAAAATAAATTAGATGCTACTTGTTTGTTTGATTGTTTGTTTTTTGAGTGCTGCACAATATTCCAGCTATATGGCGGCTGATTGTAAATAATCGCGTCTTGACCAGACAACCCAGTGCTTAAAAAACTAATTGTAGGGTCATGGTGTCATTTAAAAAAAAAAGTAATTTTATTTACGCAATTACACATCATACATACCCAAATTTGAAATAACAATGTCATATGTTTAGCTTACCCACCCAATGTTGTAATTACACAAATTAAGCAAAATATCATAGTCTTACTTCCAAATACTTTTTGTCGTTTTTATCAACTTAAACCAACAGTTTAACACCCTTAATACCTCTAAGTATACACTGGTAGAGGGACACGTTCTTAATTGTACGACAACCAAATCATTTAAATCACAATTGTATGTAATTATTAACAGTAGAATCTACATCGACACAATTATCACACATCATTGCCATAAATATCAATTTGTGTCACACATTAAATTGATTCATTCATTTTGTCGTCATAATTAAGAGAAAATGTGAATGTTTTAAACAGTTACAGAAATATATTCTGCCTCTAGATGGAATAATTTAACAAATATACATGTATATGCTTGTACAAGTATATGCTTATATTGCTGAAATTTTTTCTACAAAGTATATAATACTTATTGTAATCTCAGGGTGCCATTGTACAAAACTAACCTTAGTGCTACGACTGTCGCAACTCTATGTTAAGGTATGGGATTTACGATCACCTTAGCACTCTGATCGCTTTGTATAACGGATACTAAAGGCTATCTGCTCCTCAGATACGGTATATTACTTACACGGTATATTACTTACACTATATTATTTCAGTTTCTTTCAGCTTTCGATGAGCGAGAAGTACCGCATCCCTAAAGATGCGATGGGATTTGTGGGTGGTTCGTTAGCTCGTCACGTAGAAGACCCGGGTTCGGTTCGGTTTAAGAGTACACAACTTTACTAATGGATAGATGGTGTCGTGATGAACCATATTCAGTCATCCATATCTTTGAGGGGATATTTATTAAATAACTGCACAGCTCTGAGTTGCGTGTATTAATGTTAAGAAATTAACGTTACTTAATGATCATGAATGATACTCTACTAAAGTTGATGTTCACAATGTACTCTGGCAATATGGCGTCACAGGGAACATAAACCTTTATTTACACACACATGACATCAAAATTGTAACGTAAGCCTGTGAACGTCTTACTGTAAACACTTTCATAAAATTCATGATGTCAAATACTTTAGGTCATGAATAAGCAAACTTTTGGGATGGATCACCAAATCAATCTACATACATATCTCGAATTGTCTGAAAAGCAATTTTTCAGTTTTCTTAGGATGGTGACAATTCTAAATTACATGGGATTCAAACGATGTAAGGAAACTAACTCTTACAGTCTTTATGCAAATGTTAAATTTATTACCGCTTCACGAAATCACATGAACAGAACTGTGGGATACATATACACTGTCCAAGCCCTTGGGGACAACGCGTGAGAGAGAGTGAGAGAGAGAGACAGTGAGAGATAGAGAGAGACAGTGAGAGGGAGGATGAGAGAGAGTGAGAGAGAGAGCGTGAGAGAGACAGTGAGAGAGAGAAAGAGTGAGAGTGAGAGGGTGAGGGTGAGAGACAGTGAGAGAGAGTGAGCCTAAGAGTGAGAGAGAGAGATAGTGAGAGAGAGAGAGCGTGAGAGAGAGAGGTGAGAGAGAGACAGTGAGAGAGAGACAGTGAGAGAGAACGAAAGAGTGAGCGAGAGAGTGAGAGAGAGTGAGCCTAAGAGTGAGAGAGGGGTGAGAGAGAAAGAAAGAGTGAGAGAGAGAGCCTAAGAGTGAGAGAGGGGTGAAAGAGAGCGTGAGAGAGAGTGAGAGTGAGAGCTTGAGAAAGAGAGAGAGGGTGAGAGAGAGAGAGAGAGAGAGTGAGCGAGAGAGGGAGAGAGAAAGAGGGAGAGAGAGACAGTGAGAGAGAGGGTGAGGGTGGTCAGGTAGTTAAAACAGTTTAAATGTTCAAGAAGTATTCTTCATCTCATGCGATTACTGTCCCCACACAGGTGTGGTCATCAATCAGCCCGGGGGCTCCGTGCTCGGCAACACCATCAGGTACAGGAGGACTCCCGCCCTCATCATCTGCCAGCACTGCAGCGCCACGGTTACCACCTCCGTCGACGACGAGACCAGTACTCTGCAGTGGATCGCGTGTTTCTTCATGTGTATATTTGGGTAAGATAACAGTGTACAAGTGTACATATTCCTCACTGAAAGCTCAGATCTCAGGTTGGAATAGGCCTTCAGCAACCCATGCTTGTACTTGCGTAAGAGACAACTATGCATGTTGTATGAGGCGTCGTAACGGGATCGGGTGGTCAGACTCGCTGACTTGGTTGATGCTTGTCATCGTATCCAAACAACTCACAGCGGCGTTAAACTTACACATAAATTCCACCATGGATTTGGAAAATTGTCGTTTGTGATTGGTCATTAACAGGTTTCAAGCATTATAACTACTTTTGATTGAAGCGGCTTATTTCCAGCATTAATTAACGCGGAGGTTAATATTTCGTTGGCCGTAACTCTTGACCCGAGAGGATCTGTGTTGGAATTGATCTTCAGCTACCCATGCCTTTCGTAAGAGATGATCAACGAGAAACAAACAAACTTACTGATTATTTTGTTTAAAGTCCAAACGGTCTTAAACATGCATATAATGATAATTATGCATTTTTTTGTTTTCAGGTGCGCGCTGTTTGGCTGCTTAATACCGTTCTGTATAAGCGACTTGAAGGACGCAAAGCACTCGTGTCCCAATTGCAAGCAGCTCGTTGGAAAGTTTTCTCAAATAGGTTGAAATAGTTTGAGATAATACTCGAGAAAGGGACCGTCACTGCTGGTTTGGTAAATGAGACAAAACATATTTGCCATGTTACACAATAATCTGAACAGTGTCTTGGTGTCATGCTTGAACAGTCTCCAGGGAACCTAAAGATTGACCTCAGACTTGTGCATCATGAACCTATTTCAGGTCACATGGCTTCTTCATCTGTCCATATATTGCTTGCGAGAGGCCTGTGTATATTTTTAACAAGTAGGATGTATCTGATAGAGAGGAAAATACTTTCACCGGAAGAGTGTCACAATGATGTTTTTTATTCATTAGAGTCGCTTCTTTTGCTTTGTGTATATACATATATTTTGCATGTTGAATTTCTCAATCAATATAAGTAACTATATGTAAGCCATTTGGGATATCAGGGTAGGATAGGTCCCAACCACGATGTTTGTCGTCAGAAGTGACAACATGAATCGGGTGGTCAGGCTGGGTGACTTGGTTGATTGCATACAACAGTCAGGCTGGGTGACTTGGTTGATTGCATACAACAGTCAGGCTGGGTTACTTGGTTGATTGCATACAACAGTCAGGCTGGGTGACTTGATTGAATGCATACAACAGTCAGGGTGTCACATGAGTCGGAACTGTCGGAGATAAAACCTGGAAATCTTACTGTCACTATTTGGTTTTTCATACGCCACCTCCTGGAAGACCTACCGTAGCCAAAGTAAAAAATTGCAAGTTGAATGATGTATTCCTTAAATGCGTCAAACCTTATTACCTTGTTTAATTGTTTTAGATGGCCACAACGCTACACTTATGTTTGACTGAGAATGAATGAATGAAGAATGAATGAATGAATGAATGATATAGCTCCAGTTGGTTCGTTGTTTTCCTGTGTTGTGTTTGTACATACCATACTTATTTAGATGACACTGTACGTATGTTTAAAAAGAAACTAAATTTGTGTTATTCATTCAGACGCTTGTAAATTTCAGTTGCAATAAACAATAATGAATATGTATGTTTTTATCATCATTTACACATGTTCAAACGAAACCGTCACTCTATCTAGATATATATCCTGTAGTTTTCGCGCTTTATTTGTTAACAACTAGTACATAAGAAGCTAGATGAAAACAAATATGTTTGAACATTTTCTGTCTGTAAAACAGGCCATACACTGTGAGTGAGTTAATATTGTTTTACGTAACTGTCCGCTATATTCCAGCTATTTAACATCGACATGTAAATATGTAAATAAACTCACGCGAGCATGTGCCAGGTCACGTGGACCGCTTCAGTCAGTCAGATCACACCATAGTGACCACCTGATTGAGTGGAAAGAGGAAGGTCGGTGGTTCGATCCCCGGGCGCGTGATACCAAAGGACGTTAAACAATGATACTTGTTGTTGCCCTGCCTGTCGCTCAGCATTGAGGAGCTAAAACAAGGACTTGTCGGTTCGGAGTCAGAATTAAACATATTTTCACAGAGATGTGAAATACCTTCGGCCTATAAGGCCCATGAAACACACCTTTACCATAATAACACAGTACTAGCAACGTGCTAAAGTACCAATAAGTGGTAAAACTATTGATTTAAAATATACATTCAGATATAAACATACCACAGTTTAGTTCAAATAAGTGTATTGATAGTCTAAGGACCAATGACAGTTCAGCAACTCACGCTTGCCGTAAAAGGCGACAATGCATGTCTTAAGAGGCGACTAACGGGACAGGTGGTCAGGCTCGCTGACTTGGTTGATGAATGTCATTGTATCCCAATTGCGTGGATCGATGCTCATGATATTAATCACTGGACTGTCTTGTCCAGACTTGATTATTTACAGACCGCCGTTATATAGCTGGAATATTGCTGAGTGCGACGTAAAACAACAAACCAACCAATGACAGAGATGACATTTCCAACATTTCTGTTTCAATAATATTGTAATAGACGTGAATTGCTTCAAAATGTCTGTTTAGGAATACAAACTCTGAGTAACTGCTCACTAACATTCATGTTATATTGTTGATATTCTACAAATCAAATATGTTATTGGATTGTGTGATGTGGATGCACACACACAGAAGAAACAAATGTAGTATGATCAGATAATTACTGACAAAAAGAGGTATCGATTGATTGTAGTGATGGATGAGACAAAAATGACAATGTGTTTGAGATGATTTGATCAATAATTGGTCATTCACCCACGATTGGTCAAACATTCGTTATTACGACAGGGCACCGTCCGAATCAATCTCAAAATGACGTCTTGCAGCGCCTGACCCAGTTTCCGATCATGTCACCGACGTACTTTATGGGGGAAGTCGGTACTCATGGCTGGCACTTGCATTCTGGAAACGTTTTCTTTCTGCTCGATGCAGTCTGTTGTCTCGTTAGTACTGTCCAGTGACCCTTCCAAGGACACCCTCCCCATTATAGACCCAACCATGACGTTCCTTAAGACGCCACCAGACACGTCCACGCCTGTGCAGAAAGTCCGAAGTGAATCATCTGAAAACATTACACGAGACCATAGGCAATTCCCCCAGTTTCTACGTTCTAAACACCATTGGCGACTAAATGGAATGAGTCGATTTGTTAACGATGGTACAACACGTGGTCGCCGAGCTGCATGCAGTGAGTGAGTGAGTGAGTGAGTTTGGTTTTACGCCGCTTTTAGCAATATTCCAGCAATATCACGGCGGGGGACACCAGAAATGGGCTTCACACATTGTACCCATTCGAACCCGGGTCTTCGGCGTGACGAGCGAACGCTCTAACCACTAGGCTACCCGAGCGCCCCGAGTTGCATGCAGACGATTTCTAATCGTGAATAGCACTCTAAACATTGTAGGGGTCATGTGGGTGTATATTTCATTTCTTACCCCAATCGGGGGCACAGTTGTCTGAGGCGGCGCGATTCGATGTGCAGAGTTGCGTCCCTTGGGCACGCGAGAAACCTATGACGGTGGGTTCGAATCCCGGTTCGCCCCGATTATGTTTCTAGGTTTGTCAGCACCATACCCGTGCTCGTGGGTTTCACCGAAGTGGTAAACGTCTGAGACCTGCATCACTTCGGACTTTCCTCCCACATTAAGGTGACACGCCGTGATATAACTGGAATACTGTTAAAAGCTCACTCACTCACTCACTCACTCACACCCCAGACTTCATAAAACCCACTTTCACTTGTATTTACCCCATATCACCCAACCATGGGTTTTTGTGTACAAAGTATTGCAGAAATGTTTGATGATTAGTTCGACATAATTAAACTTATCAAACTTCCTTCACTTTTCAGCTTCATCACAAAAGTCAAATGTATACTTTCTTTTGCCCATCAGTGACTTCTACTACATATATTTGTTGCAAAGTCTTGATATTGAACATGTTGATGTATCTGGAGAATACCCATCTGACAGTATCAAAAGTAGGTCATGGTTACCTACTTTCTGGAGGTTGATTTTTCTGTTTTGGGTATCTGCTACAAATACGACTTGTAGGTCTATATTTTTACAATATTTCATGTGAAGATGCCGAGCCCCGTGGTCGGGATTAAACTCCTTACCGCTTGGTCCGCTGGCAAAGAAGAAGTGCAGGAGATATAACCAACGTTTAATTATCGATATTTTTCACCGCTGAATTGTAAGACGATTGCATGTTAGTGTTGAAGTGTGATGCGGTCATGATTAGATTTCACAGTCTATATTTTAGGTTCATTATGCTATACGACTTAGGAACGACATAGGAACAATATATACTTGTCAGGTGAATTTGAGGCATGTCAAAATGGGCTTGGGACGGGGGCTGGTTTGTTTTTGCCGTGCATCGCAAACACCTTTCTAGTTGTAGGGAACGTTTCACTTGGGACAGATAACATATTTCCGAGGTGTACGGCAGTAGAAAAGAGTTCCACGCGCATATAGGGGGGATGCAATGCTGAAGGTCGGGGCCACGTTTCACAAAGTAGCCCCAGCACTACAGTTATCATAAGTCAACTTCATTAACATGGTCGGTGAAACAAGGCGATTGTACCCATCGTATCAACTTTTATCTCTCGATTCCAGCCCATGCACATATGCAACTGTTTATGGGGACAAACGTACTAAATTTAATTTAAACTGAATCCGTTAGCGTGTGGTTTTAAATGAAAACGTCGGAGGTATTAAATGACGATAACCTGTCTCTAAATTGTAAACGAAGTACGTTTATCTCTATACTACTATGACGAATTTACGAACGATTTTATAAGGAACTCTCTCATTGTGTAGCCTCGATGTGTGATGCGGTCACTGCCTTCTACGACAGTTATGAAAAGAGGTTTAGGATTTTGTCCACAAGCTAAATGAAACAAAGTACATATCAAAGCAAAAGAAGTAACATTAAATGTGTTTAATTCAAGATTTATAAATGGGCGTTAAGTGATTTTCCATCAATTTTCGGAACATACACCATCAATTAAGCCATACGCCTCCATCACATATTTGGTTTCCGCCTGATCGGCCTGCATTGTGATGCTAGCATTATCGTTGTGACGCTAGTATTATCAGTGTGACGCTGGTATTATCATTGTGACGCTGGTATTATCATTGTGAAGCTAGTATTATCATTGTGACGCTGGTATTATCACCGTGATGCTTGTATTATCATTGTGACGCTGGTATTATCATTGTGACGCAAGTATTATCATTGTGACGCTGGTATTATCATTGTGCCGCTTGTATTATCATTGTGACACTAGTATTGTCATTGTGACGCTAGTATTTTCATTGATACGCTAGTATTATCAGTGTGACGCTGGTATTATCATTTTGAAGCTAGTATTATCATTGTGACGCTGGTATTATCATTGTGACGCTAGTATTATCATTGCAACTCTGGTATTATCATTGTGACGCTAGTATTATCATTGTGACGCTTGTGTTATCATTGTGTATCTGCTACAAATACGACTTGTAGGTCTATATTTTTACAATATTTCATGTGAAGATGCCGAGCCCCGTGGTCGGGATTAAACTCCTTACCGCTTGGTCCGCTGGCAAAGAAGAAGTGCAGGAGATATAACCAACGTTTAATTATCGATATTTTTCACCGCTGAATTGTAAGACGATTGCATGTTAGTGTTGAAGTGTGATGCGGTCATGATTAGATTTCACAGTCTATATTTTAGGTTCATTATGCTATACGACTTAGGAACGACATAGGAACAATATATACTTGTCAGGTGAATTTGAGGCATGTCAAAATGGGCTTGGGACGGGGGCTGGTTTGTTTTTGCCGTGCATCGCAAACACCTTTCTAGTTGTAGGGAACGTTTCACTTGGGACAGATAACATATTTCCGAGGTGTACGGCAGTAGAAAAGAGTTCCACGCGCATATAGGGGGGATGCAATGCTGAAGGTCGGGGCCACGTTTCACAAAGTAGCCCCAGCACTACAGTTATCATAAGTCAACTTCATTAACATGGTCGGTGAAACAAGGCGATTGTACCCATCGTATCAACTTTTATCTCTCGATTCCAGCCCATGCACATATGCAACTGTTTATGGGGACAAACGTACTAAATTTAATTTAAACTGAATCCGTTAGCGTGTGGTTTTAAATGAAAACGTCGGAGGTATTAAATGACGATAACCTGTCTCTAAATTGTAAACGAAGTACGTTTATCTCTATACTACTATGACGAATTTACGAACGATTTTATAAGGAACTCTCTCATTGTGTAGCCTCGATGTGTGATGCGGTCACTGCCTTCTACGACAGTTATGAAAAGAGGTTTAGGATTTTGTCCACAAGCTAAATGAAACAAAGTACATATCAAAGCAAAAGAAGTAACATTAAATGTGTTTAATTCAAGATTTATAAATGGGCGTTAAGTGATTTTCCATCAATTTTCGGAACATACACCATCAATTAAGCCATACGCCTCCATCACATATTTGGTTTCCGCCTGATCGGCCTGCATTGTGATGCTAGCATTATCGTTGTGACGCTAGTATTATCAG